GGTTTCAGAGTAGCAGCCGTGTTAGTCTGTATCTGCAAAAAGAAGAACAGAAGTATCTAACTGTATAGATATGATCCTGCTCCCACTCCAGTGAAGGGCAAAACTTCAATTGATTGCAGAGGGAACAGGATCTGTCCCCGTGAGTGTGGAATATTCCTATGTTTGTTGTACTTGTATAACTAAAAATGGCCATGACTGAGGAAAAATCAAGTTCAGCTGTGACTTTGTACTCCAGGTTTCCATTTTTACAACCAACTCGGAAAGCTTGAGGATCTGGGAAGTAAGGTAGAGTTATAATGGAAACACAGAGTGATAGCCACAACAAGGACTTTGGTGTAGGTGTTCTTGTCTACCAAAATGCCATTCTGCTGTAGTCTCTTTCATCTTTGCTGTACTCAGTTGATTCAAGCCCAGAAGGATCAGGGATATAGGAAAATCACCTTTGGCCACTCACACGATCACACTTCTCCATGGTGCATCCTGTTGCTACCAAACAGAGTAAAGGAGCAGAGACTAGAGAGAAAAAAGGAAAGACAACAAAGGGGCGGGGCGGGGAGAAGGAAAAAAAGGAAAGAGTAAAGTGCAAGAAGAGAAGGTAATGAAAGTTCTTGTCCTTCTGGAAACTGTCTATTAATAGCCACTGCCAAGAACATGACAAATTTAAGGCTGCAGAGGCTGCTTAAATAATGTGGCCTTAAGTATGAAAACTGCAACAAATATATAATACCAGCTAGCTCTTATATAGCACTTTCCATCAGAAGATTTCAAAGCACTTGACAAAGGAGGTGAGCATTACTATCTCCATTTTAAAGATAGGGGACTCAAACACAGGGAGGTGAAGTGATTTGCCCAAGGTTATCCAGCAAGCCAGTGGCCGAGTTGGGACTAGAACCCAGGTTTCCTGAGGCCTAGTCCACTGAATTAAATGCCCAGTAATTAAATAGGGAGTAGACAAGAGAATGGAAGAAAATATATTAAAATATGTGTCAAAAAAAGGGCTGTAATGATCCATTCAGACAGACATAACATTTGCCAATTGAAAAGCATACTTGCAGAACAGGAAAAGGAGCACTAGACATTCTGCTCTAACTTAAAAATCAAATATCTATCACTTTGAGCTCAAGCAGAAAAAAGTACAAATAAGCGTATATTACGTGATTGCACAGCCTGAATTTCAGAGCTCAATTTCTCAAAAAGTTTGCAAAGGTAATATTACTAGACCTAACTGATTCTGAGGCCCATCAATGGTAGCTAAATGCCTATTAGATTGAGACTATGACAACATATGATCATTTTTTTTCACCTTTGTTACCTT